TACAGAGAATCAATATTTGACAATCAGTATGTTACAGTATTATAAGCATTTCATTGTTTTAAATATATTCAGTATATGTCAATACCTCTTTAGTAATATGTTTCCAGAATGCATCAATTAAATCTAGGGCAGGTTAAGTTTTCAATATATTGACATTCTGCAAACATTATTCTAATGTTACACTTTGACAAGGGAAACTGGGGTCTAAATGATGTGAAAGCACTGTACTCTCAAGTGGTATTATTATAGATGGATTTATTGTGGTTTGAGAATTGTTCAATGTAACAAATGTCAGCAGCAAAGATAAATACATTTCCCACCAGAGTATAAACAAACATGTACCTGATACACTAAGGAAGATTAAAAATGATGATACAATGGATGGTAGTAAAAATAATAGATAATCCTGAAATACCTAATACATAACTAAAATTCCTGGTAAAGAGTTTAATTGCCAACATCTTTCCACGTATAGGGGATTTAGGTGAGCGTATCCATTATATGGCTACGCACTACTGCATTTCTGCCTAGAATCTGTTTTTGCATTGAAGTATAATAATTTCTGCCAATTGTTCTCTTATATTGTAGTCAATAATCCATAAGGCATTGCCTCCCAGTTTTGTTCTTTCCTTTCCCAGCTCTCAAGATGGTGCGGAAACTCTGTGTCTTGTTTGACTGCCACCTGTCCTTTAAGTTCTACATCCATGCAATGACTCACTCAGCTTTCCATCACCTCAGAAAGATTATCCGCTTCCACCATTGCCTCTCCCACCCAGCTGCTGAGATGCTCATCCATGCCTTTAGCACATCCAGGCATTGCTCTGCTCACCAGGCTCCCCTTCTCTTTCCTACACAAGTTATTCTCATTCTCACGTTCAAATCCCTCCACAATTTCACCCACTCTACCTCTGTATCGTCTCTCTACCATACTGACCCTTCGCTCAGAAAACACTGGTCTGATTCACGTCCGTGCCCTACCAGCCTCACCATTGGCCATTTTGCCTCCACTCTCTAATATTCCAATCCAGAATCCTTTGAGTTGCTCCCTCCTTCCTCTCATTCAAGGCCTATCTCAAACATACCCCTATGATGGTGCTTTTGGTCATCTTTCTACTCTCCACCCTCCACAGCTCCCACCCCAACTCGAGTGCCCAGTCAGCATTGCCAATCACTTTGAAACATCCTCCCGATGGGAAAGATGCTACATAAAGTAAATTGTATTTAAGATGATTGATTCTTCATGAAAGCCTGATAGAACTGAGAGTTATATATTTGCACAACTCATTCAATCTTTCTTCAAGGTTAACATTTTTCAACACTGAAAATTAACAGCACTTTCAGAAACTGAAGGTCCAATTGAATCGATAAATACAGAGTAGTTATAGCTTGAGAGCAAAAAGCATTTTTATTCAGTCAGGCACATGTGAATAATAACAGTTTCTCAGACAGGATCTTCCTGATGTTGTTCATTTCTGTAGTGTCAGCAATAAATGAAACAAGATTTGTTGGCGTAGTTGATAGAGTACAAATCAGAAAAGCCACTGGCATATTCTTTATGATTAGTTTATTCAATATAGAGTTATGCTTTCACTCTTTCCATGTTGTCATCTGCCAGAGTAAGTATGTCAATTATCAAAACAATAATGTCAATTAAAGGAATAATGGCCAATAAAACCTATCAATCTTTTCATTGCATTTAATCCACATTTATCAACAGAAACAATCCAGCGCTTTAGTTCACTGAATTCCTTAAAGCATGCGTAGTAAAACATACAATGCTTGAAAACTGCCAACTCTGTTTTTAGCATTTGAATGTCATTATAAAACCTGAAATGCATTAAAATACCTTCCTACCTGGTTGTCCACATCTCTTTATCCTGTATTTGGGACTCACATTGTTCTCTAGGGTAGGTGTCCCAGTCTAGTTCAGGTCCGGCACAAAATAAATGGTTTAAAGATGAAATAAAAGATTTAATGGTATTTTCAAGTAATTTTGCCAAACTCTATTTACATGTTTGCAGCTTGTACATTTTTTTGTTAGAACCAACTGTTTTTATGAAACAGTTTTTTTTATGAATTTGGTGAGAATAAAGAGTAACCACTGATCTTGATGTTATTCAACACAATGCTCATTCACTAAAGTGAAGTGAACAGCATTCACTTATAATAATATTAATTGTATTTGATATAGTGTCATGTCCTAAAGCATCTCAAAGCAATTCACAGGATGAATTGTAAAGTGGTGTGACTGTGTGTATTTTATGGGGAGAAAAAACGTGTAACCATCTAAGAAGTAAATTAACATGAATCATGCATGTCTCTTTCACAAATGGTCTAATTATTAAAAAAGTAAAATTCCTCTATGATTTAATTGTAATCTTGCATTTGATATAGTGTCCGACCATGTCTTCGAGAGGTCTCAAAGTGCTTCACAGAATATACTGTAAAGTGTAGTGCCTGTTTATTTTTGTGAGCGAAACACAGCAGCCAATTGCACACAGCAGTATCCCACAAACAGTCTTGAATTGAGCAACCACATTATTATTATTATTTATTTTGAAGGAATTATTACCCCTGGAAAGCGATCTGCCAATCAACTAACAAACGGATTCCTTCTTACTGCTAGGTAAACAGAAGCATGTTTGTGGAGTATGGAAACTTGCCCAACATTTCACTCTGTCGCGCCTGGGAATCGAATGCAGGTCTCTCACTAGCGAGGTGAGTGTTCTAACCAGTGAGCTATAGCACTACACTGATAGGGATTTAGTTACCTTTAATTAATGAATCCGGTTAACAATGCATGTGCAAAATTTGTAAATGCAGGTACTATAGATGCTTTTAATTATGTAATTAACATCCAGTGTAATGTATTATAAAACACACTGTTAACCTAACACACAAATTGGATCCCATCCAGTTACCTACAAGATCCAATATTTACAAATACTTTGTTAATCTGTTTACATTGCATCATATGTTCCACCTTCATCTAATTTGTAAAATGTTGACCAGAAACCTATCTTTCAATTGTGGTATTTTGGCCTGCACTGATCTTTTCTTTTATATGGAGTGGAGCCAAATAGTTACAGTTGCCGTAGTGACAGGTAGTACACTCACAGCTGAGAGTCAATGTGAGAATGCTGCATGAGAACATTGCATCTGATATTTAGCATAAGTGCTTTTGTGTAGAACTAGTGTCACAGAAAGCTTGGTAGCAATGATTAAGTGTGAGTTGCCATAGTTACAGGTGATGTTCAATGCTGTAACAGAGTTGTTTAAAAACGTTTCAATTGTCTGTAGCTCATGGGAAGTTCGTTCTAATTATTTTCTATTTTTCATGAATGTAGAATTGGAGCCTTGAATGGAATATACCACATTTGTGATGACACCCAACTCTATCTCTCTGCCTCCACCCTCGACCCTAGTACCATTGATGTCCTGTCAGACATTAATTCCTGGATGAGAGCCAACTTTCTACAGTTGAACATCACCAAGACCAAGGCGCTCCTGATTGGCTCGTGCCAGCACCCCCGCACCTCAGAAACTGGCAGCATCAGCATCCACGGATGTGCACTCCAACTCACCAACTTGATGGCCTTTCCAAATATTCCCCATTGGAGGGTTTAGTAAAAATTCTTAAGTATCTACCTGGTTTTGCAGGATTAACTGAATGTTGTTGTGTTAGGAAAGCATCAAAACCTATAGGATAGAAAATGTCTATTCAATAGTTTCCAATTACTTGCAATCACACTTCATGGCTTGGAGCACTCTACACGTTAAAAATACATTGCAAAGAGGACAGTTTTAGAGGCATGTATGGATTTCATTAGACTTGATAGTAAATTGTAATGAGAAACCAACTTGTGCAGTTTTCAAATTTGATCATTTTTCTCAATAGAAATTCAAGGTGCTTTTTATAAGCAAATAGCTAGGGTCAGTGTGCACATCAACATTGCGTTTCATTTTAGGATTTCATAGTTAGTAACCTGGATACAGAAAGTAGCTGGCATTTGATTTAATCGTTGACAATTCAAAAAGAGGATGAATTTTTCTTGAAGAATTTATTTTAATGGTTTATTATCAGAGACAAATACATACATAAATTGCAATTTAACACACAGAGATATTCTGTTCACAACAAATAAATGATTCAACACATGTTTATATCTGTTGTAATTAAGATTTTTCTAAAGAAAATAATAAAGGCTTGGAATTGTGTTTATTTTAATCCTCCTGTAGCATTGCATAAAACAACACCTCCATGTGTCTGTCACATCAGAACTACGCAAGCTGAAGAATTTCTGTACATTTGAAGAAAGAACAAGACTTGTTTTTATCTTCATTCGGTTCAGTTCAACATAATCTCCTTAACTATTCACTTATCTCTTCCTGGAATCTATACATTTCTTCATCTGTAAATTGCACTTTAGTATGTGATTTTTGTGATATATGTTAAATATTGATCAGTGAAGCCAAGATAGTAAACATTCCATTCTGTAACTTGCATTTAATATCAGGTCTTATCACAATAAAACATCTCAAAATGTTTCATAGTAATTACTGTTAAGTGTAGTGGCAGTGTATTTGTAGAGGAATAAAGCAGCACAGCAATGTCCCACAAACAGCCTTAAGGTGCATGATCAATTTAACTCCAGAGGATTGTTGGCCAAGATACTGGGAGAACCTCCTTTCTCATTCTGAAATAGGATCAACATCCACCTAAACATCCACCTCAGTTTAACTTCTCAGCTGGAGAACAAAACCTCTGTTAACGCTGTGCTCCCCAAAATAGCCGTGGAGTGTCAGCCTGGACCATAAATTCCACGTCCTCCAAATAGGAATTGAACCCACAATCCTCTGCCTCAGAGGCAAGAACCAAGCTGGCACTAAATTAAATTATTTACACTTGTATTTCTCACACAGATGTTGTTCATCACAGACTGTCTCCACAAAACCCAAATGCAAAATAAGTCAATTTAGTATAAAAGGTAACACCCACGTTGTTTGAAACACATTCTATGTTCTCTTCGTAAGATATCAATCTACATCACAACAATGTTTTGAGCTGAAGGAGAAGCCTTATGTCTTGAGGTAATCCTGTGTCAATGACTTGTTGCATTTACAATACCAACTCTGGCCTCTCTGCAAGTTTCAGAGCCTCGTGCATCCCTGCAGCAGAGAGTTTGCGGTTGATATTCCTGTACCTGCATCTTAACAGGTTGCGATAGGTTGTCCGCAAATCTCTGTTGAAGAAAGCGTAGATGAAGGGGTTGATCAGAGAATTTGTGTAACCGAACCACAAGAGCGTTCTTTCCAGCCAAAGGGGGATGCAACTGCACTTAACACCACAGATGAAAGGCCTGGCAGTGGAGAGTATAAAAAATGGTAACCAGCACACAGCAAACGCCCCCACTACAATGCCAAGGGTGGTTGCCGCTTTCTGTTCCCTTTTAAAGATCGACATGTTTTTCCTGTCGTGTTTCAAGAGTTGCGAAAAGTTGACACACTCTTCCGACTCTTTGTGTGGTTTGAGGCCTCTGGCAGTAGGTTCATCCACAGGGTCTGGCCTTGGGAACCCGGCAAATGTGTGTTTGGCAGCGCTCTTCTTAGCAGCTTTGAAAATCTGATGGTACATGAGAAGCATGACTGACATTGGGATGTAAAACGCCGCTGCGGTAGAATATATGGTGTAGCCAAAATCTTGGCTGATCAGGCAGACCTTCCCATCATTGACATTCTTGGCCCAGCCAAACAGGGGCGGTAGGGTTATAGATGCCGACAAAAGCCAGACGCACAGGATCATTTTAGCCATGCCTTTTCCATTCTGTCTGACTGGATAGGTCAAAGGTCTTGTTATTCCCAGATACCTGGAACAAAACAACAAAGAAGTGGTAACTGGTGATCTCTGCCATAAATATAACTGCCTCGGTTCAGTAGCAATGAAGAGGTTAACTCTATTTGTGTGACATCCACCGACGCTGCTATGTGTTACTGCAGTGAGATGGTACCAAATTTATGCAGCCATGTCTCCCGACCCCAGTAAAATAGTTTGCTTTCAAAGAAAAAAAAAGCTAATGCAAACATTGAAACTGATTTTGATATTGATGTTTTGGCAACACCTATTTTAGTGAATCGGTCTCGGTTTGACAATGCCAGAATTCATCTTTTCTGTCCCATCACGCTGCATGGCTGTGAGAAATAGTGACACTCGAGGCAAATTACATGTTATCTAGCAGCTCGTCAGCTTAATGTTTGCTTTGAACAAACATGCATCAAAACGATGGGGGTAACTAGAAATTGAACAATGCCTCATGATCATTGCATGTCGATTTAATCATCTCCTTGAAACTCAAGTGAAAATAAATCACCATTGGGGGTGCATCAGCAGATTGTACATAAGTATTCTTTGTGCAGCAACTCCTTAATCTTCGTGTAATTTTGTTGTCTGTATTTTCTACGAAGGTGTATGATGCAGCAATTGATTTGTTATTAACTTAAGGACGCACCAAATACCATTTAAAATGTCCCGGAAAATATTTATATATTACTGAAAGATCCCATCGCCGGAATAGGTTTCTATTGACTTATCTGTAAAGAAAGCCTAAGTGTTCGGATACAACTTAACCTTCCAAAACAGGTCAAGCAGCATAGATTTAATGTGCTTTCACTTTCACTCCAGACACAAACGTGCACACATGACTGCACAGAAATGCATATGCAGATATTTGTCAACATCTTGATCCAGAGTTGGCAAAAACAATCAGCCCCGACACATTTATCCTCGCTGAACTTCTGTGTGAATTTTCAATTGGGTTCAGGCTGATTCCCTTACTATAGGAAACAGATTCAAATTCAATTTCCACAGAGCTGATAGTGGCACAACAGAGCACCTGCCTCGGTTTTTGCATCGGAGACTCCTGTCAACGGGGTTGAATATCTTCCGAAATGGAAACCTGATGGAACCAGTGGAATTCGGGCTGTTCCCGACGTGTTGCTAACCGGGTTTGATAAAGTGGCATTTGTACAATATACATTGCGCGTTGTGCAATTGTCGCCCTTAAGAATCTTTCTAAAGGTATTCAGAGTGTTGCTGCAAATTTTAGAGGCGTTGCTGCTGATGGCAAGTTGTTGGGTGGAAACATTCTCTCCACCAACATAGCCTTTATCTACATTATATACTGAAATCAGAAAAAAATACAATAGATAAATGAAATATGAAGTTCACACAATGTTTTATTTTAGAATTTAGAGTAAATCAGATTTTTGGGGAGGGAAATTGTTTTAATGTTTTGCCTTCTGAATCCATTAACCCTTTACCTTTATTGTACAAAAATATATGGTCAGAGAAATACTGAAGAAACCGATACATAGGAAATTGTAAAGAAACAAAGTGCAGATGTACAGAAATGTGTAAGATTATGTATAAGTTAACCTAGACATTGATATACTGTAACGTGGGTTGGGAAATTGTGGGTGAGTTGTTATTCATTGAACAGTTGTAATGCCCAGGAAAGCTGCCAAGAACAATGAAGGCATTGCGGGTCGTAACAAGTAATGATTTCAGACTTCCATGGTGATATATGTATTAATTATGGATGTGCCTTAAAACACAGTGTCCTAGTGCATGATTATGTTTTAAATGGCTTTGCAATATATGATTCTTTGCATTCTTCCAAAACAAGTGTTTTTTTTCAGTTACCACTTCCTTCTCTGTAAATTTGTGTTACATCAGAAAATCGAAACTTCACTTTAAGTGGTCTTTCTTCTGTTGTCAGAAGTGAGGCGTGAATTTGAGAAGTCAAATTTGTGGATTGTGGATTTCCCTTCTAAACTGTTCTGACATTGGTTTCCTTCATCTCTAAGGATGATTGCGTATGAGAAAAGGATCATTACTTTAATGGCATTATAGATTGCTTAACTTCAGTAGTCTCTTCAAAGTATCCATCAAGATCAAATGATAAATTATTCACAGATCTATTTTCATACGATAGGAACTATATTGGAGTGTCCCAACTGGAATTCCTAAGACTACGTATCCAGCAGGAAATCTCACTTCCTGGATCTTTTGCAACCATTTAGCCACATATTAAGAGCAAACGTCAAGAAAATCAAAACAAATCTGCGATTCTTCGCATTACTATAAGGTACTCTTTATGATTCAATGCTTTCAGAACACCAGCTTGTGTAAAATTTATTCAAAAGAAATTTCAGCATAATCATATTTATGTATATATCAAATGCCAGGATTATTATTACATTATCCATCTGGCTGAAGAAGATGTAGCGAGTGCTACCTTTCATTTTATGTGTGAATGTTGTTACTTATTGATTGACAACACTATCAACAAAGTAACTCACCAAAGGTACAGTTGCTCTTTCAATTTCTACAGTTGTTTTCTTCTGACCATTTGAATTCCACAATGTATATGTATTTGATTCTGTTTCATGTGATAATCGAAGATCACGGATGTGTTGACCTACAGACAACTATGTAAATGATTGAGAGCAGTGGATTGTATCCCTGAAAACAAACAGCAGAACTATCCTCAGTGTGCGCCTTAGTGCTGTAAGGAAAACTAAGCCGTTTCTGCAAACCATGACTCTGCAACAAGACTATTTTTCTGCTAATGTTAAGCTTTGGTAAAGCTTCACACACTTCATGGCTGTTTGCGAGACATTCTTCCTATGTGAAAAGCGCTATATCAAATGCAGGGATTTTTGTTGATTTGTAACAGAGACATAGCAATAAATACTATGCCATGGCAGCTAGAATGATACAATACAAAAACAGTAGAGTGTAAACACAAATATGTAGTGTAGGTTGGTTTGAAAGATGTGTAACGTATTCAGCTCAGAATTTATAATACCTTATCGTATTTTTAACATGTCTGCTTTGCTTAAATGAGGATACCTGTAATCTTGATATAAGCCCTCAAATTATATCTCTTGGGACGCCCATATGATCACTTCCCTCCCACCCCATCCTCCATTCCCTTGCTCTTTTATCTTCTAAAATTAGGTTAGCTGCATAAATGCAAAGTATTATTTATTATTCACCAAAATAAGGTTCTTTCCTTTAAGATTCTGCTTATTTTAACATTCTAGGATTCTCTCCTTTTACTCAGGTTCCAATTCAAAACATATTCAAGAGCAAATTTGACAGATATTTAGCAAAAAAAAACGATTGAGCGGTACAAAAAATAGATTACTTTTACTTTGTATCCTGCCAAATGGACTGTAGTCGTACTTTGGGTGGATTCCGATAATGTTTCATTGCTTTGTATGCTGTTGGTGTGATGTACTGCAAACCTGAGGGCTTACACGTGCATTATCAATAAAGCAACGTACACAGTATTCAGCAGTTTATATTAAGACCAAGTGGTGAGCACTTTAACAAGGGAAGCTGAAGGCTTTGCGACATGTACACTTTCACTTTGTTTCAAGGCCTTTTTTCCTAAAGCTCTGCCCGACACAGGGCAATAACATGGCGAGATGTGCGCTGGTGCTGTGAACAGTAAGACCCACAAGATATTGTATATGTGTGAGCCTTATCGTTCACAACACCAGTGCACATCCCGCAGCATAGTATCAGATAGCTCACAGCAGACATTTGTCTTGTATAAAGACAAGCACAAAGGGTTTTATTCAGTGCATCTTATTTGTATTTGACAAGACCTATAATGTGCGTTAGAAATCATATAGCCAGTTCATGTGTTTCCTCTTTCCACAACAGGACATCACTGCAGGGAATTTGACAGCAAGTAAACCACAAATGCAATCGGCCTTATACCATTGCAGCTAAATGCTGGTTCCTGGCTTTGGGCATCGCGTTCTTGCATTTCTAACAACGTCTGTGTCTTGATTGCTTCAATATTCATGAAGTAATTTTATAATCACCGTTACACTGCACAAAGAATATACAGATTTTAAAAAAAAACCAAAAGTTTAAAAGATTCAAGATCATGAAGTTGAATGAACGACACTATAGCAAATATCAACGAGGAGCTGAACCTCTCCCTCAAAGATTAATTCAGTCTACGCCGTGTACATTAATTCCCCGTAAGTGAACACTGCATCCAGGTTACCTGCAGAGGAAGTCGGTGTTCAGCAATATTTTTCTAACTGAATCAATCGGTGCTGAGTTGTGCTGTTTTGGCAGTAAATAAGTGATGAGCAAGAACAGTGAGTGCACGTTTTGCTGACTGTCGGGAGAGTTGCCTTCCGCGTAACAGTCTGTGGTTTCTAACAGCTGACGAACTGCAACAAAGTCCGAAGCGATACCAAGTGCCCAGTGGCGTGGAGACCGTCCCCGCGTGTGTGGGGTGTTTCGGGATGAACTGCGAATCACTCCGTCGCTCTGGTGGTCGTCGGGGGTGCGATCGTGTGTGCGCAGGACTCGGGGGTCGGGGGGTGGTGGTGGTGAGGGTGTGGGGGACCAGGGATGGAGGAACGTGGGGACGAGACATCCCAGAGCCGCTCACCTGTCTATGCTGATAACGCACAGGGTCATGATCGAGGCGGTGCAGCACATCACGTCCATGGCGATGAAGACGTTGCAAAAGACTCGTCCGAAGACCCACTCCCCACCGATGAGGTCGGTCACGATGACGAAGGGCATCACAGCCACCGCCACCGACAGGTCCGCCAGAGCCAGAGACACGATCAGGTAGTTGGAGGGCTGCCGCAGCTTCTTGACGAAACACACGGAGATCAGCACCAGGCAGTTGCCGGCGATGGTCAGCAGAGTGATCAGAGTCAGGACAGCGCCGATCAGCACCTTCTCGGCGTGGCCGTAGGAGAGCATTTGCTCCCCGCAGTCGGTGTCGTTGGACTGCGACGAGGTGAGCGGAGTCGCCCGAGCGCTGGGGGTGGAGTGCTGAAGGATTCTCAGCAGTTGAGGACCCGAGGAGCCCGGTACCATCCCGGGAGGGCTGAGATCCTGCAGCGTGTGCCCCAGCGGGCGACACGACCGACCGAGGCTGCAGCTGCTGTTGATGTCCAGAACCATAGCGTTGTCCGATCCCCAGTTGCCACCCGAAGCATTCGGTTTCCCGGTGACTTCTGAACAGAAGTTCAGAGAAGGGCGGAGAGATGTGGAGCACCGCGCACAGCCTCCATCCGCGCACGGCGTGTGCAGCCGGTGCTGTCTCTGACCTTCGCTCAGTCTCTCTCTCTCTCTCTCTCTCTCTGTGTGTGTGCTTCTGGGCTAAAAGTGATGCAAAATTAGCATTATTATTTTTTTTCTTAGATGCGCAAATGTTGCAGGAGGAATTGGCGTGGCGACGAGACCCGTCGGGAAATATCACACCGAACGCTGTAAGGGTGGGCGGGAGTGGTGGGGGTGGGGTGGGGGGGAGGGGAGGGGGGGTATCACGCGAAATCTCTTATCGGTGTCTTTTTTTCGCCTTTTGTGTCTCGAAGTGTCTTTGCGGTGAGAAGTGGCTGAGCCTTTCGGTCGAGAGGAGCATTCGCAAACCACACGTTCAGCTTTAAGGACTTGGCGTGACGTGCGGTCAGGAATGAATCCACGCACTGTCTGTGTTAGGATTCCTCCTGACATCCCACAGCTCACCCCAGAGGGTGGGTACCAGGATTATTTGCCCTGTTATCTGCAGTGTTCACAATTCAAAGCCAAATGTACACCTCCCCCCCCCCCCTCCCCCCCCCCCCCCCCCCCCCGACTCCCCCTCTCTTATTACAACATATGATCGTGAATTCCTTTCGAGGGCACAATGTTGAAGTGATGGATCCTTGCATTAGATATTGGTACCCAGAAAGAAAGTCCCCCCACATCCACTTTCCATTCGCCTTTCCAATTTAGTGCAGGATTCCCTGGGAATATCTAAAATTCTTCAATCCTTTTGTTTGTTTGGTCGTTACTACCGAAGATGTTTCAGTAAATTCACAGAGGGGGTCACAGAGTGGAAGGATTGAAATGTGGTTTCAAGTGTTTAACATGTCGGTCAAGTGCCTGGGAAGCCAAGCAGTTAGGATGTGCCTGGTGTGTATCTCAAAATAAGGGCGTGCGATCATTCCAAAAGGATCCCCTCATTTATCTCTTCAAATGAATCACTTATCTCTTGAGAATACAGTTGTAGAGACAAAATAATAAACATAATAATTTGGTCACTCAATCTGTGGCTGTTTGTGGGACACTGCTGTGTGCAATTGGCTGCCGGGCTTTGCCCACAAAATATACAGTCGATTCACTTTACGGTATATCCCGTGGAGCGCTTTGAGACATCTCGAAGACGTGATAAGGCGCTATATCAAATGCAAGGATTAATATTATTAGAGTTTTCTTCTGTTGTTAGTTCTGCTGTTGGTAGATTTGGGGGAGCACAGTTTCAAAACCCGGTTGGACAGACTAGGAATATTATTTGAAAACAGTACTTTTTGCATTATTGCATAAACATGATAAACGATGAGTGATTTAGACATTTGTCCCTCCTTTATAAGTCTTGTGTTTTTTTTTACTAATTTGCCTTCATTAAATTAATCTGATTTCTCACAGATAAAAGTAATAAATAGATAAATAAAATATATAAACGTAATTGCAAGGAGCAGAGGACAGCCTATATTCTCTCAACAAAATCTTTTCAGCACTTTCCTTCTCAGAGAAATACAAGTTGTATGAAATATGCAAACACATAGAGGCACCTTGATTGAGTAATTGTTACCTTAGGTATGACGCTTGCTTTAAAAGGATAAGGAATCTAGATTGGTTGCAGATAGGGTCTAAATGGCTGCATTGGGGATAGAGATTTCTTCTTGATGCATTGTATGTATTCCATGTTAAACACAGAAAACTTAGAATTCTGTTGCTCTCATGATAGGTTGCAGCACTGTTACTTTCTAAAGAGTGGGAAATTTTCTTTGAGTAATAGTGGTTATTATTTGGCTACTTGGAGAAAGGCTAGTTTAATAATATTTGCTGTTTAGATTGCGCTGGTTATATATTCTTTTTGAATTGTTCTGAATACACTGGTCATAAACTTGCGGTGCCTGTTTAGCAATGTAATACAAAGACATTATCTATCTTTCGATCTGTACAAGACTGAAAGTAAATATCAAATGAAAGTACAGGAACTGCCAGAACACATTTCATTGGTATCTCTTTATTAGACACCCAGACCATCCATCAATTTCCAGCTCAAATGGTATGCTGTTAGTTTTAAGTTAATAAGTTAAATAGTTGAATGTATCTCATGTTAAATTAGGACTCATCATCGCATTCATCATATTTTTCAACAAAGTTTTCATTTAATCATCTTGCAGTAATTGTCCTCAAGGCAATGTTCTGATCTGGTGTTTGCCCTGAAATTGTTCCTTGCCTATCATCCAGTTTGTTGAGCATTTCAGGATCCCGAGCTTTAAATCAGGCAGATCTTGTTTTGAATTATCAACATAATAACTATTGAATTTTATTACAATAATTACATTTTAATTTATTATATTGAATTATCAATTAGTGGAGCAAAGATCTGCCTTACAATTCAGGAGACCTGTTATGCTGGGAAGCTTGAACTCTTTCCCCTATTTGTAATTTATTCTTCCTCTTTTATTAGGTTCCCCTAGACCAGGGTGGTCCAACTGGCGGCCCGCGGTCCACATCCGGCCCAGAGGATGATTTAATCTGGCCCAAGAACCATTTCTAACTTCAGGCTGCCCGCTTCCTCCCTCTCCCTGGTCACCCGTCCTCTCATGGCAGCGGCAGGAGCCGACTGTTGGGAGGATGCGGTGGGTAAGGAGACCCACTTGCCTTCCCCTCAGCTTGAGAGGGCCTTCCTAACAGCACATTGAGCTTCACGGAGTGGAAATAAAGCCACGAGTTGCTGCAGTCTGTGAGGGAGTTCCTGTGGAGCTGAGGGGCCTAGACAATCCATCATTTCCCAGCCAAGATGATAAGTTGTAAACTAGGCTTTTGTCAACGTTGATTGGTACGAGATATGTGAGAATAGATTCATTCTTGGTCCTCCGATTTTTCTCGCTCCTCTAGTACAAAGTCCTGTCCACTGCTACCCAACTCCCTCTTTTGCCAGAGTTGAGATTAGCAATTTTCTCAGCAGAGAATCATGAAGTTAAACTTGCTACCACTCGGGAACATTGCATTATCTGAAATTATCACTACATTATTGAAATCTAACATCATCATGTCCTTATTTGAGTACAGTTGTACTCCATGATAATGTAATAGTGCTCCAATAAATATTCAGACGTAATAAAAATGTCTCAGCATAATATCATTCAGCAAGTATGCTCACTGAAAGTTTTAGCAATGGCTTTTTGTCTGCTCCCAGTAAGAAATGAGAGAAAAATGTAAAAATTAACCCTAACATTTTACTAAGTTACCCATCCCATGAAAGTTAAAGTAGTTGAATCTAACATTACTCACTAAACCGAGACACACAATCTAGAATTTAGTCCTCGTTTCTGAAAAATATACCAACAGCATGCTGACACATCAACACCCACATAGCTCAGACTGGAAGAACATACGTCAGACCATCCGACTAACAAAATTTGCAGTTAGTCAGATCAAAACAACACCAGACATTAATACTGTGGATCAGCGCCTTGGGACATCCTTCCAAAGTGAAAGGCGCTATACAAATGTAATCTTGTTGTTGTTGTGGACAGTTGCAGGAAGGTGCACACTGGCACAATGAATATTTACTGGAGCTATATGCCAATAATGGCTATATGCCAATAATGGCTGACAAGTGCTCTGAGATGCTACCCAGTGTGAAGGGTGCTTTATAAATACAAGTTATTGTTGTTGCTATACAAGCGACTCTCCAACGTACACTTACCTACTGCACTCATATGTATTGTATACATTAAACGCAATGTATTAAAACACACTGTAATTCAAGAACAATTCTAGTTTAAAAAAAGTTTGTCATTTTTGTAAGTGGCTAGGTCTGAGACATGTTTCAGTTGGAACAAAAACTATTGACAATTGAATTATTTCAAAATTGGGAGCAATGTGGTTATGTTATGTATTAAAGTGATGTTTTATGTTACTTTTGCTGCTTAATTTGTCCTATGATTTTATAGTACACTTTATCTTTCCAAACACATTTTATACAAGAGTTGGGAGCAGTTTAAAGATTTGTGGGATTAGTTTTACTCCAATGTTTGAATTTGCAATTGTTTGAAGGAGAATTTCAATGAAGGATCCAATGTTTCAGCAGAATGTTTTGAAACTCTGGAAGGCAATGTGATCATTAAGCTTGTGAAGTGATTTTCCGATGTGATTTTCCAGTATAATATTCCTTCCATTTACCATATGACTTGTTACACCTGCAATCAAGCACAAAACATGGAGATCTTAATTGAAAGAAAGTGTTAGACAACATGACATTTGGAATTGGGAAACTAAGAATTATCACAGTACTTTGGATGAAGGGCAAAAAAAATCCACACAGAAATGATCTAAATTCTTTTTGACTGTGAATTATCAATGAAGCTTGTCTCATCTGACACACTAACAATAATACTGAGAGCTAGCACATGGAATTACAATACATTAATTTAGCTGCTAATGCTGGAATTGGAATTATTTAAGATGTGACTTATTCTGTAATCATCCCACTCTGTTTACNAAAAAATAGCTTTATGGATTATATTCATGAGAAGTACAGTTTGTTCTGTTTCTAATATATGACTACTGACAAACCAAATTATTAGAAATGTGCATAACCTTTAAAAACACATGGGAGCAGTATTTCAGGGGGAAAACCCAACCACAAACAGTCGATCTTCAGTGTTATCAGATGGCTTCTGTGATCTTGGCTTGAGACAGCGTTGTGAGAGCATAACATTTATTACTTTTAACAAAGCTGGTACATGACATGAAAAGATTAAAGGAGGAACTCTTTTATATGTGCAAAGAGAGCGCCATTATAGATCCCAATTGCAATATTGATTCTTGGTTGGCAAATATTGTTAAAGGCTTTAATACAAATTACAAATTTACATGCATATACCTTCTTTCATGTCAGG